TGTTACCACTGGCGGACCGCTAGGGGCCAACCGGTGACACGCCGGTAGCTGCAACTAGAGGACTGCTGGCTTTGCCAACGGCAACCCACCAGCGGGCCACTAACATATCAAAACATAGCAGGTGCTACCACCCCGGATCAGGGTAGATGTGGGAACAATAGCAATTAAGAGGTGGTTTCAATCCAATTCACGCCCCTCAACACCTCCAATCTTCGATCAAAGGCTTTGCTGCCGGGCGTAGTTTATCGTCATACCCAGGACTAGAAAGTTGTCTTCTAAAAACTCATCAGAGTTCAGGGTGTTTCCCAATTTTTTAAACAAAGCAGCAGAGGAGAGCTTGGTGAGGGTGAGGACCTTGATGAGGAGGAACAGTGGTTCCAGCAGGATGATGCTCCTCCTCACATTGCTAATGTTACGATTGCATAACTCCGTGAAAAGTTTGGGGAGCGTCTCATTAGCCGCAAAGCAGAAGTGGAATGGACACCTCACTCGTCTGACTTATCCCCACCCAGGTTTCTTCCTCTGGGAGTTTCTCAAGGACAACCTCAGCCAGGGCAACCCATACACCATTGCTGCATTGAAGGCAGTAGTCACTGAGAAGATTCAAGCGATCATCCAAGAGTAATGTTCCCGCGTAAACGTTAAAGAAATTGCTATATGATTATGTTTGAATGACCTAAAGTGAAAAGCAGCTGTTGCGTTAAGGCAGTAAAAAAAGATACGGGTTTCAGTCGTATTCTTTAATAGCTTAAAAGCCGCCTCATTGGACGGCATTTAAGCTAGCTTCTGCGGAGGGTCCTTGATTGGGCCTTCATCACAATAGACAGGGGGCACTAGATGCAATAGGCAACAATGAACTACAGAAGAACTCAAAATTGATCGCTGCATTTAAGTATTGCATTAATATTTAAACTTACCTTTTAAAAGTTCAACGATAATTCTGTTGCCGCCACTTAATTTAAAGAAAATGTACGTAGGTCCTTACTTTCCGTACAAACAATTATTTTTATTTCATGGGTGATTTTCGCTGGATTTCGCAATTAATTTCAATTATTCCCAAATTTATTTCAAAGTTATAAAAATTTTTATTGCACAAAAAATTCCTCGCAAAAAAATCACCTAAGAAATCGAGAGAAAGAAAACTTGGGAATCCAAAATTTCAGGATTGCGGGTCCGGATTCGACCCGGAATGATTTTAATTTGCTTATGGAGTCAGCTTGATTTCAAAATGGTGGGATATGTTGGGCTACGTCCTCTCGGAGTAACGTTGAAAACACGGAAAATTTTATTTTGAAACACCGTAATTTGAGAACAGTCTTTTTTTTCATTTGAAATGAGCTGTTGAAAGTTAAAGAGATGTATCCCTTTAAGTTGAAAAAGTGTGACACACTGACATACTGACATACTGACATTTGCATTTATTATATAGATGAATAGTTCCGATGAATTTTTCAACGATATATACTCCTTATTTGTTTACGGCTTTTTACCAACGACCCACTAATTGTTTAATAACTCAACCATGGAAACCACTAATCTTTGACTCGAAAAATCATCAAGCAACGTCCTTGTTGAATGAACTCCCACCCCACACAATTTTTTAGAAATCAACCTAATATGGTGGTAGCTGGAAGAGACTAAATCAAGAGAAGATGGTGGATTTTTCAGAACATTTCACTTTTTTTGTATCCATGAGTAGCCTGTAGGTCATTGGAGGTGCGCTGGGATTTGTTTCTCTCGGTCAATGCGTGTGGCACCCATCCGCCATGTTTCTGGGTCTTACCTACTGAGTGAAGATGACGAGTGACAGTAGTATGAGAGCTTGCAATCTTCTGAGTCAATTCCCCAATGGTTTGGTGCGTTTCTTTAATCAATTGGTTCTCATCAAACTGAGCTGCCATAACACAGAGAGTCTGTGGATTCGTACTTCGCCTCCTTGTAACGGGAAAACCATTTATGTGCAATTCTCTTGGTGATAAAGTAACCTTCGTACACAGTGCAAATATTTTGAGCCGCTTTGGTATATTTGTTACCTTGATTAAAAGCAAAAGATGTCGAATATGTTCATTCTTGTCGAATTGGCATTCCATCTCAAAGGAGAATCTAATCTGAAATAAAATTTCAATAACGTTAGAATAGAGTTTCACATGATGACCAGGGTCACTAAGAAGCAAAAAAAAAAATACTAGGAAATATCATTGTTGGAGATCCTTCGTAGAACATCAGAAAAAAAAAAACGAACGAATATATGTAACAACCTAAGATATGGTAACATTTGAATGAGAACATTCGGTGGAGTCTCCTTGACCTAAAGAGAAAATCAACTATCGCGTTAAACAGAAATAAAAGAGATACGACAATGTACTTCATACTAAATTTAAGCGAGTAGCTCTGGATGGAAATAACTGGCAATATTTGTGTCAGAAGTAGTATCAGAAATGTTGAAATCATTTATCTTGACCGGCTAAGAGACGAAAGACAACGGTGAAAAGCATCAGCAAATAATAATGTTGGTATGTCACGAGATCCTCGCTGCTGCCTAATATGCATGTCACTAGCAGGACTGAAGTGGCACATACGGCACAAATATAAAAACTGAATGAGAATGCCGGATCCTTATATGGCGAAATTGACGGAAGAGTCCATTATATATATATATATATATATATATATATATATTTATTAAAGACATTTTTATGTTTAACGTTCTTTTTTTTTATAGATAAAAGTATTTAAGTAAATGCTCTGTTTATAATAAACAGTATTAAATAACATTTACCGGCCTGAATGTCCGAGAAATTTTTCATAGATTCGAACCTGCATCCTATGCGTCCATTTCTTAATATATGACGTCATTTGTTTACATTTGATACGCCAGAGCAGTTATGAATGTACGAGATTCATGGAAGATTGAAGTTTATAAGCAGTAAATTCGACCTTGTCTACCGAACGCTCCTTTGTGGCCGATCGGTAAGGCACGTCAGCGTAAATGACGGTTCCGTATAGGATGCAGGTTCGAATCCTGTCGGAGGACGAATATTTTCTATGAAAATTTCTCGGACATTCAGGCCGGTAAATGTTATTTAATACTGTTTATTATAAACAGAGCATTTACTTAAATACTTGTATCTATATAAAAAAAAAAGAACGTTAAACATAAAAATGTCTTTAATAAATAAATTGTCGGACTTTTGTCCATCTCTTATATATATATATATATATATATATATATATATATATATATATATATATATATATATATATGTGTGTGTATGTATTTATTTACATTTCATCACGGGATTCTCTTGCGAATATTGATTCTTCTTCTTCCACTTGTTTCCCACTATCTAAACAGTTACAAATAGCCTGGTGTACTAATGGTATACTCCATCGACAAATACAACATACCGCTAATAACAGTACGATAATCTGTCTATATTTCTGAGATAAGGTATTATGTACACTATTTACATTATTCTGACTATTGTCCTTATCTTTGTTGCCATATTTATCACGTATCTGTCTATATTTCTGAGATGAGGTATTATGTACATTATTTAAATTATTCGCAATATTGTCCTCATTATTGTTGCCATATTTAATCACAAAGAATGGCAACAAAGATGAGGACAATAGCCCGAATAATGTAAATAGAGTACGATAATGTACGATAATAGTACATTCCATTGCTGTGAATGTAATCATAACTCAATGTTTTCATTTTCTCACTTGAACTTGCATGGATACAAGTTGATTTCATTGGTAATTTATTATGAAGTTGTGATAGTAATGTATAAGGTAGAAATGGTTTTATTATTTTTATTATCAATTTATTTGATAATGTGAATCTTTTCATGTACGTTATTGGTTATTGCGCCGAGGTCGAGGTTAGTCTACCGACAAACAACACTCAAAATTTAAGATTTTTGTTTTTAGAATTGTAGTATAAAACGACCTCCATTTTTAAGGGTGATTTGGAGGATTTAATGACCGTCTTATACGCAGAAATATACAGTTATTCAAACAATTTAACACGATTACATTTATGCTTGCCCTAAACGATTGGTTGTTTTCTCGCGCGCAATCTTTGAGGGAGTTCGAAAAAAACTCATGAGACCGCACGACACACACACACACACAAAAAAAAAAATCTACCCAGCTTTTTCACCAGCTCCCGCATATTTCAGAACGTGGTAAAAGCTGTCCCTCGTGATTGGTTGGTTTGATAGTCAAGGTCAGTTTATCCAGACGCATCGGTCAGTCTGGGTGGAATTCGCCAGGTCAAAGGTCATTACGCTGATGCCGTATCAGATTTTAACAAGCCTCGTTGACATAACGAGACAAGAAAGATCCTTGGCGCGAGACAAGTGAAAAGCACTTGGACATTGCCCGCATTCATACAAAAGCAAACCAACTGGAAGAAAATGGTGGATGTACACGCGTATCTCAGCTTGCTGAGACCCGGATAAATGAAAAGATACATTGAGAGACTGACGCATGCGCAGAAAGGAGTTTTATGTTAATAATGATCAGTATTTATGTGTGCGAGTGTGTGTACGTGAGTATTTTCAGAGATCTGTATTTCGGTGGACGCAAATGTGTGTACGTATATTTGCGAATGTTTCATTGAGTTGCTTTTTGTCTTTGTGTTTTCTTCATACATAATGTTATTAGTTATAACAACTTGTTTTCTTCCTTTTTTTTTCAATGTGCTGTCTCTCTTCACGACCGGGCGTACGTAGCTCGCCACAACATCAGTTCTTCCTAGCTCTAAGCAATTTTGTCCTTGTAAAGAAAAACTTACAAACATTTAAGCTTGCAACGAAGCTTCAAGCAATGAAAGTTGACTACTGCTCATGTTCGTCTGTTGCTTTTATAGACGAATAGTTCAAAGGGGAGACAACTGTGGTCCTCTTCACTACAGAAAGATTCAATGTAATTTGACCACAGTCAGGTTGCACTATTATTTTTATAGCGAGTGGTTCGAGGAGGAGATAAATATGATTTCTTTCTACCAAACTTTCTTTCTTTCTTCTTTTCTTTTTTTCTTCCTGCCTTTCCTCTTCTTTAATTCCTTTTCACCTTTCTTTCTTGTCTCCTTCTCATTTTCTTACTTTCTTCTTGCTTTTCTTCTTTCATTTCTTCTGACCTTTTTTCTTGTCTCTTCATTTTCCTTCTTTCTTTTTTATTTCTATTTCCTGCTTTTCTTCTTTCATTCCTTCTCACCCTTTTCTTGTCGCTTTCTCGTTCTTTCTTTCTTTCTTTCTTTCTTTCTTTCTTTCTTTCTTTTCTTTTCTTTCTTCCTACTTTTCTTCTTTCATTCTTTCACAACTTTTTTTCGTCTCCTCATATTTTTTCTTTTCTTTTTCTTTCTTTCTTTCTTTCCTTCCTGCTTTTCTTCTTTTCATTCATTCACAACTTTTTTTTCGTTCCTCATATTCTTTTCTTTCTTTCTTTCTTTTCTTTTTTCTTTCTTCTTTCATATTTTTTTCTTTTTTTCGTCTTCATATTCTTTTCTTTCTTTCTTTTCTTTTTTCTTTTCTGCTTCCTGCTTTTCTTATTTCATTCATTCAACTTTTTCTCGTTCCCCATATTCTTTCTTTCTTTCTTTTCTTTCTTTCTTTCTTTCTTTTTTTCTTCTTTCTTTTTTCTTTTTCATTCATTCACAACTTTTTTTTCTCGTCTCCTCATATTCTTTCTTTCTTTCTTTCTTTCTTTCTTCTTTCTTTTTCTTTCATTCTGCTTTTTTCGTTTCATTCATTTTCAACTTTTTTTCTTCTCCTCTTTATTCTTTCATTTTTCTTTTTTTTTTTCTTTCTTATTCTTTCTTTCTTCCTGCTTTTTCTTCTTTCTTTCATTCATTCATTCAACTTTTTTCTCGTCTCCTCATTTTTTCTTTTCTTTCTTTCTTTCTTTCTTTCTTTCTTTCTTCTTCCTGCTTTTCTTCTTTCATTCATTCACAACTTTTTTTCGTCTCCTCATATTCTTTCTTTCTTTCTTTCTTTCTTTCTTTCTTTCTTTCTTCTTCCTGCTTTTCTTCTTTCATTCATTCACAACTTTTTTCTCGTCTCCTCATATTCTTTCTTTCTTTCTTTCTTTCTTTCTTCTTCCTGCTTTTCTTCTTTCATTCATTCACAACTTTTTTCTCGTCTCCTCATATTCTTTCTTTCTTTCTTTCTTTCTTTCTTTCTGCTTTTCTTCTTTCATTCATTCTTTTTTTTTCTGTCTCCTCATATTCTTTCTTTCTTTCTTTCTTTTCCTGCTTTTCTTCTTTCATTCATTCAACTTTTTTCTCGTCTCCTCAACTTTTTTCTTTCTTCTTCCTGCTTTTCTTCTTTCATCCATTCTTTTTTTCTCGTCTTTTCTTTCTTTCTTTCTTTCTTTCTTTCTTCTTCCTGCTTTTCTTCTTTCATTCATTTTTTTTTTTCTCGTCTCCTCATATTCTTTCTTTCTTTCTTTCTTTCTTTTTCTTCCGCTTTTCTTCTTTTCATTCATTCACAACTTTTTTTCTTTCTTTCTTTCTTTCTTTCTTTCTTTTTTCTTTCTTTCTTTCTTTTCTTCTTTGCTTTTCTTCTTTCATTCATTCACAACTTTTTTTTCTCGTCTCTCATATTCTTTCTTTTCTTTCTTTCTTTCTGCTTCCTGCTTTTTTCTTTCTTTCATTTTCTTTTTTTGTTTCTATTCTTTTTTTCATTCCTGCTTTTTTCTTGTTCTTTTTTTCATTCATTCTTTTTTTTCTCCTTCTTTTCTTTTCTTTCATTTTTCTTTTTCTTTTTCTTTCTTTTTCTTTTTTTTTTTTTCATTTACAACTTTTTTTCTCATATTTTTATTTCTTTCTTTTCTTTCTTTTTTTTTCTGTCTGCTTCCTGCTTTTCCTGTTTTTTCATTCTTTCATTTCTTTTTCATTTTCTTTCTTTCTTTCTTTCTTTCTTTCTTTCTTTCTTTTTCTGTCTGCTTCCTGCTTTTCCTGTTCTTTCATTCTTTCATTCCTTCTTTTCTTATCTACTTCTCATTTTCTTTCTTTCTTTCTTTCTTTCTTTCTTTCTTTCTTTTTCTTTCTTTCTTTCTAAAGATAACCAGACGAACGTTTAAGATTGTAGTGAAGCTTTATTCAATGCAATTTCACTCCTGTTAATATGTAAGGTTCGACCAGTTCTTTTATAGTCGACTAGTTCTAGGTGGGGGGGACGGGGAGACCATTATGCTAGGCTTCCACCACAGCGCCCTTACAATCCTTCCAAGTTGTTCTTTTGTCAAAACCTAGTTAGGTAGTAGTAGATAGGTTCACCGCTCGCCCGGTTCACACTCCTCCCTGGTATTTTGAATAGGAGTAGAGTTTAACCCTTGTTTCCTCTTTAGGATTGGGTTTTCGGTTCCTTTTAAAGTTTTTTTTTTTCATTCTCTTTTACTCTCAATAGCTCTTTGAGTATTTGTGACATTATCGCCTTGTTTGGGGTGAATTGATTAAAAAAATGGTAGATTATTTGCTGTTTATTTCTGTCCCTCTTTCCTTCAGAATGTCCCGTGAGTATCAAATTCTCCAAGTCCTCTTTCATCATTACGTCCCTGAAAATCTCAATTGTTTTTTCTTTTCAAGTGTCATTTTTGCTTTCTTTTTTTTCTTTAAAACTGTCTCGTTCCTTACATGTTCCATTCAGTGTATTCTCAGCATCCTTCTGTATAACCATATATTTATTGGCTCAAATCTCCTCTTCATCGATGAGGAAACTGTCAAGCATTCGCCTACATATAAGAGGATTGATATTACACAGCACTACAGGACTGTTATTTGTTTTTACCGAAATTTTTCTTTTCCCTTCATGCTATAACATTTGAAAAGCGTCTAATTCATATTCCAATGCGCCTTCGGATTTCCGTGTCATATTTTCCGCCTCCTATAACAACACTTCACTGATAGTTAAATTTCAATACTTACTTTAAAATTCTTATAGGTCCTTTGTCTGTTACCGGGTCTGGGTGATGTTCATACCAATTTCTTATAGTACCCTTCCCGTAAAAGTACCATATTTTACAGTGCAGATATTGGCCCACTCTATCATGCCAAGTTTTAATTTAAGTCTTTATTATTATTATTATTATTACTATTATTAGAAATACCCAGGAAAATTCATGATGTAGATATGTTCAACTTGCTTTGTTTCCGTTTGGATAAAAAAAACTTAGCAAACTCGAGAATCTGTAACGAGAAAGATTTGCGCTTAAAATTTGGTATATTTATAGATAGAAAACACCCAAAGCTTTTATAGATGTAGACAATGCGGACATATGAAGCAGCACTGCATGGCAACTATCAATTCCCGCTTTTCTTCTTTCATTCATTTACAACTTTTTTCTCGTCTCATATTCTTTATTTCTTTCTTTCTCTCTTTCTTTTTTGTTTCTGTCTGCTTCCTACTTTTTTGTTTCTGTCTGCTTCCTACTACGTGGTGATGCACCTAGGTATGAAACCTAGGTGCATCACCACGTAGTGTTGATTCGCGTGATAAAGAATGGTCGTTATTTTATGGCTTTCGATTAAAACCAGAATGTTTATATTGACTGTCATATTCATTGTTGGCCATTTCTTTTCGAGTTTACTCGTCTGCTAATGTCATTAACTAATCCCTCTTGCAGAAACCTGTTCAGGCATATTTATGTTTCTTCAGCAGCTACAGAGCCGATATATGATTTATACTGGATCTATGCCAAGCATACCTTAGTTACAGTTTCTGGAAGAGAACGCATAATGTGGCGGGAACAACAGTTTGAACAACGGCTGTACGTTCAAAACTCTCCGTCACGATGTCTTTTGGCTTCGTCCAAGCACATTCCTCATTGGCTTCCAAACAGTTCCATCTACCCAGTTCCATTTCACAAGGCTTGGCTCAAATCGTGATATGGATTTCAGGCATTTCCAAGGGTGTCGCTGGCATACTCACATAATAGGTTACGTGATAGGAAAATATATTTTAACCAAGCACAACCGAAATAATTTTCTAGCCTAGTAAGAGTTATTAAAAGAAGTATAGATTGTTCCGTAGTCGATTCAGACGTTCCAGTTTAAATATTCATCAATCAGTTGATTCAATGATGGCCATTTGTCTTTGCTATATCACTACTTTTCTTATTCATTTGAGCCAAACCAGCTGCGAAACAGCAAACGATTCACTGACAACAGCAACAACTAAACCATGATTTAGAATATAGTGATATTCTAAGCGTAACTTAGATGTGGCAGAAGGCCAAAAGTATGGGGTACCCAGTGGGAATCGAAATCACTACACAATTGTAATTGTTTTAGCGCGAGAAACTTGTTAACCATTACACCGCCTCGAGGTACCCCCACGTGATTTAGAATATAGTTGCATGGAAATATTTCTTGTCTATTAAGCTTTTCGATAAATTCTCACTTCCAAGAACATTTACGTTAGGTTAAGTTGGTCAGTGTAACAAAATATTAAGCCGTATTTTCTTCTTCTTCTTTTTCTTCTTCTTCTTCTTCACTTCCTCCTCCTGCTCCTCTTTATCCACCTTTATCTGCTCCTTTCTTCTTCTCCTCCTTCTATGCCTTCTTTTCCTCCTCCTCCTCCTTTTCTTCTTCTTCACTTCCTCCTCCTGCTCCTCTTTATCCACCTTTTTTCTGCTCCTCCTTCTATGCTTCATTCTTCTTTTCCTCTTCCCCCCCTCCTCCTCCTCCTTCTTCTTCTTTGCCTCCACCTCCCCATTTTTCCCCTTCTTTTCTTATCTTTCTTCTTATCCTCCGCCGCTTCATTATTTTCTCCTCCTCCTTCACTTCCTCTTCTCCTCTTTCTTCCTCTTCTTCTTTGCAGATGGAACCCAGTTAGAAATATTTTCTGGTTGGCTAGCCTAGTTTGTTCGGACCGTTCTCCAATTGAGGATGTTCCCAAATATCTCGATGTGACTAACAAGTCACCTTGGCTACATCATCGTTCAAAATTAAAGAAACAATCCTCTCATCACCCACCCATAATGCTCCCCACTACTCACGCTCATGAGCAGAAAATGCACAGTGTGTCAGGCCGTTGGAGATTTGTCCAACTGGTTATGGCAAAGGTAACTAACAAGCAAATCTGTGCTATCGAACAAGATATATTTATAAAACATTAATTCAATAAGTGAAAATTTTTTCACCTTAACACCTTCAATCAATTCAGATTAGAAGTCATGGGATCCATGTTTGATTTAGCATTATGACATTACTTCTTCTTCTTCTTCTTCTTCTTCTTCTTCTTCTTCTTCTTCTTCTTCTTCTTCTATTTCCTTTGATTTCTGGTGTGTACACATTTCTTTCTGAGTCTCGCCCAGAGACCTCAGGTTAGAAATGGCATCTCATGATGACATTTTCCACTGACCAATTATAAAAAAAAACACAAACATATTTTACATAGATAAAGCCCTTCGTAAGGTGTGAGAACAATTTATTATTATTATTATTATTATTGTTTTTATTTTCTTTGATTTCTGGCGTTTACACATTTCTTTCCGGTTAGAAATGGCATCATGACACTTTCCACTGACAAAAAAAAAAATTACATAGATAAAGCCCTTCGTAAAGTGTGTGCTGTACTTGTCAGAACAATTTTTTGTAACTCTTTGAGGCATGGACTTCCAGGAATCCCTTCAATTAGTCTACTGGAATCTTTTCCAACCAGTCCTAGGGCTCCAATTACAACAGGGATTGTTGATGTTCCCATGTGCCACATTTTTGAGATTTCGATTTCAAGGTCCTTGTATTTTGACAGCTTTTTGAATATCTTCAAAGATACATTGCAGTCAGCAGGGACTGCCATATCAATAAGGAAGCACTTTTTATTATTATTATTATTATTTTCTGTTGTTCCGCACAGTGTTTCGTTTTCAGACGGAGATGTTTCATTATGTGTGTTCTTCATCAAGTTGTACGTCATCAAACAGATAGCACCTTTCGTAGAATATTTGCAGATTCTAGTAACGCAGACCTCCGAAGTAATTGTATACTAGTCTTTATTCCGGTTTTCTAAATGCAAGCCCTTAGGTTCGATGGTACAGGCCCCAATGCCTCGATGATAACTCGGACAGTAGTGACCTAAAGCTCCCATATTCTGGCAACCGTCATCCGAAAGTCAGTGTACTTTTTAAGCTTTCCAATTCTTTTGATCTTGATATTATCGTCACCAGGTGAAGTCGTATTGATGAGGAGGCATTTTTCTTGTTTTTTTTTTTACTGATGGCCTCGGAAATGCGGTCTGTTTGGATATTGAAATCCAATAAGGTCTTGACTTGGTTGTTTTCGATTACATTCTCTGGCTTGTGGTGGGGGTATTTCAGTTCGATTTGAAGACCACGCCCCCTACAGAGGCACCAATGCAGACTGGAGGCCACTTTGTAATGTCGGCGCTTGCTTTATTTCTGCGTTTGTATTCTTTCCACAAGCGCCAATGATGTCAGGTGGCATTTTCCATTTCCATGCCACACACTCTGCACTCTGCCCTTGTACAAATCCACATGTTGATAGAAATTGATTAATACTGTCGATTCCAACCGGGAAAGACTGCAAGTGCTAGCCCCCACCCCAATTATAACAAATACTACGGATGACATTGGTCTTACTTTTTAGTCTTTATTGACTTAAAAAAAAAATCCCAGTGTCATCTGTTCTGGACAATATCAATACTGTTTCTTATTGTATTGTCTTTACATTGATATTGTCTTATAGTTGCTTTGCCTTCTCTTAATTTCGTCCTTTCTTGTATTCTTTTGTTATTTTTATATTTGTTGTTATTGGAAGTTCAACTTAAAAGTACTCACTTATTCGACATCAACAGCAACTATTATTATTTATTTTATTTCCTTTGATTTCTGGTATGTACACATTTCTTTCCGGGTCCAGCCCAGAGACCTAAGGTTAGAAATGGTATCATGACATTTTCCACTGACAAAAAATAATAAATAAATAAATAAATAAATAAATAAAATAAAACATATTTTACATAGATAAATCCCTTCGTAAGGTGTAGGCTGTACTCGTGAGAACATTTTTTTGGTATTTCTTTAACGCATGGGCTTCCAG